AAGACTGAACACCCACCTAAGCATATCTGTTTGCTCGAGTGTCCTTGTATAATGCCAGTATAGATGCACTTCCGCCCCAGCAGCTTGGAAAGCAGCCCAAAGGGGGCCTAGAATGCGGAATAGCAAGTCCCATTGCTTAAATCGGATCTCGGTCTGGATGAATGTGATGCAGAGTTTGAAGTCTTTCTTCCGGCGAATACCTTCAGTGAGTTGCGTGAAAGCTTTGCTGAGTTTGTTTTCATCGATCGTCCAGGGTAGCCACACTTCAGATCGCTCCTGTGTAAGATATAGATCCATTGCCCTCAGATGCTCTGCGGGTAGTACACCAAGTTTGAACGCATCTTCGTGCAGTATGGTATGCATTTGTTCTGGACATCTGACCAGGAAAGCGTAATCTTGGTGCGCAGCAACGCGGTAGTACGCCTCCAGGGCTTCTCGGGCCGTGTCCGGGTCGACGTATGCAGGGTTTACGACGATGGGCTTGGTGTCACGCGGAGTACGGCCAATCTTAGGATGCATGTGAGCTGTCGTCCATCTAAAACCGTGTCCGATAGTAGGACTCGGAGACATATAGCACGATGCCAGTCGGTGATAGTTGTCATCCCAGATGTAGTCGTATATCAAATCACGCAGTTCCCGTGGTAGGCAGGCTTGCATCTTAGTAGCGAGGCAAAGACAAGATATCTGCGCATGCGTTTGAGCGACTTGTTCGAATGGACTGCCGTCGATTGATTAGTAGACTGAAAAGAATGCGACATGGTGTTGACATCGCGTACCCTCCTCTGGACAAGCCCTGGGCGCGCATTACTTCCCTTTTCAGCCCTTGTAGCCTCCCATTCTCGCTTTCGTACTCCCACTTGCTGTCTGGGCATTATTATCGACGTAAGCTCCGCACTGAATTTACTGACGATGTATGCCTGCTCATAGCCGCTACGATTCTCCTCTTTCCCTTTTCCCTCTTTCCTATGTCGCTGAGCGCCTGGAGATAGCCTTCTATCATCTCGTAGCGCATGACATGCTGGGATAACTGCCTTTCTGCAGCGGCCAGTTCTATCTGCAAGCCAGCATCGCGCCTTTGTAAAAAAGCTTGTCGTTGTGTAGTCATGACGTCGGCTACGTGGTTGTAACTTTCCATCGTGCAAAACACCGAAGTTTGAGTTGTGACACCTGAGAAGCTGAAACGCTAGTCCTAAAAGGGTGAGGTTCCATTGCTAGTACACCAAAGACCTCGGGAGCGTATTTCCCAAGGTTTTGACACAAACGCCCAATCCCAGAGGTGCAGTATCGCCCGGGGTGGTTGTTCTGATAACGGGACCTCGCAAAAGATGCTCCTTTGACCGCGGCATCGGGGCATATGCGGTGGCATCAGTCGCATGATGGTCAGCACTAGCTCGCTGGCTAGTTCCAAGGTTATACCGAGGCGCATTATCTTGCAGACGTAATCAATCTAAACCATGCACTCTGCAGATAGGGAAGGCTCATGGGACTTTGAATGAGAACAGAGAAAGATGCATCATAATTAACTACGTAAAATGGTTCCTCATAGCTTCGACTTGGACACGATCATAGAGTTGCCAATGTTCAGCCACTTGACAGCATCTGTGACGAGCTCGTCCACAATCTCCCTCGCATTCTTCCTCTCGTTAACAACGGCAGCGACCTTGCCCATTAGGAACGGCCGCGCGTTGTCCATAGTCTCGTCGTCGAGGTCGTCGCCCATCTTCTCGAGATCATGCTCGACAGGCAATATGCCCTTGGCAGTAAGATCCTTGATCTCTTGTTGCCTGTTCTCCTCCCAGTTCTGGACGTATGGGTTGGTGCGGATGCGGAGTGGGCGTCCGGTGAAGATGATGGTGCGGATGTTGTCGTCCCAGCCAGCTGTGCGGACGGCTTCTTGGTGGGCCTTGGGTGCACCGGCTTCCTCGGAGAGAACGAAGCGTGTTCCGACCCAGACACCGGTGGCACCGAATGTGAGCATCGCAGCGAGCGACTGGCCGTTGTAGATACCGCCGGCAGCTACAATTTGTACCTGCTCGCCGGTCAAAGGCGACTTGTGGCCCTCGACCATCTTGACCGCTGCTGGGATGAAGATGGATGTGGGAACGTCTCCGGTGTGTCCTCCGCCCTCGCCTCCTTGTGCGCAGATGATGTCGACGCCGATGTCGAGGCACTTCTTGATGTGCTTGGGGTGGCCGATCATGTTCATGTAGAGGATTCCGTGCTTGTGTAGCTTCTCGACGACGGCCTTGGGTGGGACACCGACGGCGGAGACGAATAGTTTGGCGCCAGAGTCGATAATGATATCGACGAGCTCGTTCAGCTTGCCCTTGGTGTAGTCGTAGCTATATGCCGTTAGTCGCGTGCCTTCTGGCATGTGATGGATCGCCCAGTACGTACTTGGTCTTGCGCGCGCTGCCTCCAACCTGAGGAAGGAGCAGGTCGATACCGAATGGCGCGTTCTTGTCGTTCAGGTATCCCTTCAACTCGGCGATCTGCTCGCGGAGCATGTCGGGTGTGTATCCGACACCGCCGATGACACCGAGACCTCCAGCGTTGGTGACGGCGGCGGCGAGCTTGGGTCCAGCAGCCACGTTCATGCCCGCAAGCATGACGGGGTGCTGGATCTTCAGCAGGTCGGTGAGCTTGGTGCGGATTTGCTCTGAGGTTTGTCAGCTGGGCACATGTGAATGAGGCGTGAATGCGTACGTGGAGAAGCCATGATGACGGTATGGAGGTTTGCGGTTGAAAGAGGGAAGATGCGAGGTATTTCAACAGCGAGAAAGCAAGACGAGTGGATCGAGGACTCGGGCGAATTCTTAAGGTTTGGGGAGTCGGGCCCTTTCTTATGGTTGAGGAGTCCTGGTCGACTCTCTGTAAGCCGTGAGCCGAGGCACGTCGCATGTCTCACGCGGAGAGCGCTAACCGCTTATCGTCTAGTGTCATCCGGGGAAGGCTGTCGGCATCGCGCGCCTGCCTCTGTCTGTCCCACCGCGTCACATGCTAACATGTTCACTAATGCATCCAGATGTTTAGCCACGCTCAGGGCCGCCCCATCACGGTGTCCACGCCGTGTAGCGCTCTCAGTTGATGCCATTCACAGCAAAGTCTCTAATCGATCGAATTTTCACTCGTCACCCACTCAACGCCAGGAGTGTGATGCACCCTCCGACTCTCGCGTTCCGCGCGAGCCTCCATCGCAAGATGTGCGGAAAGCTTTTTCTTACAAACCAGTCTACCGTAAGAAGGAACTTGCCGTCGTTGCTTTGGGGAGCAACATGGGCGACAGAGTGGCCATGATTGAACGTGCATGCAGAGAGATGGAGTCAGGTGGAAAAATAAAGATCGTACGAACCAGTAGTTTGTGGGAGAGCAAAGCCATGTACGTACTCGATCAAGACAACTTCGTCAATGGTGCCTGTCAGGTATGCTAAATAATATCCCTTCTCCCAAACGTCAAATTCACACAAACAGATAGAAACTAGTCTGTCACCAATCGAACTCTTAGACGCGCTTCAGAAAGTTGAGAATGATATGGGCCGCGTTAAAGTCATCGACAAAGGACCTAGAAATATTGATTTGGACATTTTACTTCATGGAAACGAGAAAAGTTCCAGCGAAAGACTTACGATCCCGCATGCGTTGATGTTCGAGAGGCAGTTCGTTCTACGCCCTCTTGTTGAGTAAGATAACCATCTATCTGGCCAGTGAAACGGTGCTGATCCTCTCTAGACTTTTGCGCAATCAGCGTGAAGATTACCCATTCTCGAATCAAATCAAACGCCATTTCAAAAGACTCCTTAAATCAGAGGTGCCGCTGGTGCCGCTGACGCCACTTGGACCAGATCTATCACCGATATCGTCTTCTCGGAGAGCGAATAACACGAGGATCATGTCTATCCTGAATGTCACACCGGACTCATTCTCCGATGGCGGCCAAAACTACAATATCGATGAAGCAACCCTAGCGAACACCATTCGCGAACACATCTCGGCCGGAGCCACAATAATCGACGTAGGCGGACAGTCAACACGACCCGGTGCTGTCCAGGTCTCCGCCGAAGAAGAGCTAGCACGTGTCCTGCCAGCTGTAAAGCTGATACGCTCATTACCAGAGACAAACAACATCGCAATCAGCGTCGACACATACCGCGGCAGCGTCGCCGAAGCGGCCATCAACGCCGGCGCGAACATGATCAACGACGTCAGTGCAGGTACCATGGACGACACAATGCTCTCCACCATGGGCAAACTCGGCTGTACAGTATGTCTCATGCACATGCGCGGCACGCCGGAAACCATGACCAGTCCTGAGATGACATCCTACCCCGATGGCATCATAAAGACCGTAGGCCGCGAACTCGTCGAGCGCGTTATTGCCGCGGAAAAAGCGGGTGTCAGGCGCTGGCGTATCGTTCTCGATCCTGGTATTGGCTTTGCGAAGACAAAGGAACATAATCTTGAACTACTTCGCCGACAGGATGAGTTGATGAGGTATCCGGGTCTAGAAGGCATTCCTTGGCTTGTGGGCACGAGTCGGAAGAAGTTTATCGGCGATATTACGGGGGTCACGGAAGCGAAAGATAGGGTCTGGGGGACGGCGGCTGCTGTATCGGCGGCTGTCAGGGGTGGTGCGCAGATTGTGAGGGTGCATGATGTCAAGGAGATGGCGCAGGTAGCGAAGATGGCAGACGCACTGTGGCGCGACGTGGCAGAGGTCCCGTTGGTTCCGAGCCAGTCATGATTGTGGTTGTCAACTCGCTTCCACCGAGGCTGCACCAAACAAAGAAGGCGGGGAAGGAACACCTGTAACCTCGAACAACGTCGCACTTCTCTTTATCCTCAACAACAAACATGGCGAATCTTCGTGAGCTTGATCAAGAACTACGACGCGTACAGGATCGAGTATTTCAGTAGGTGGCTGCCGTACTATGTCGCTGCTCGTCCTAGCTAATCCACGCAGTTTAAAACGTCGTCAGAACTGGTGAGCACATTCGTACCAGATGCAGTCAAAGACTGAGATGATCTAATCGTAGCATCAAGCGAGCCATGGATGGCAACTAGCTACTGTTGGAGTAATGATGATTGGGGCGAGTGGAAAGCGTGAGTTGCTTAAATCCCGGAAAGATGCAGCCCCACGGTAGGTATTCGCTTACAGACATAGTCTGAACAAAGAACTCGAAGCATCTTACGAATCACACTCGAAAGCTTGGAACAAGCTATACTACGCCAGAATGCATGACCGTCTACCTCGGGAGATCCGAGACATGATAAATGTCCAATTCTGGGATGAGGAATATTTGAAAGGCGGAGAGGGCTTTGAGGTAGCCATGAGGGCAAAGGACGAACCTGGACTTGGCGAAGCATGGTTACCTCATCGTATCCTGCGCATCTCACACGTCGTTCTACCAGAATACGTAGGAGATGCAGCTGCAAAAGAGAACGTCCATATGTGGTACGAGATCTACGCAGCTGAAACCTGCTACTGCAGCTGGCTGGTACTCGGCAGCCACAACCTAGGCGAAAACCTCACGACGGTGATATGCAAAGATAACTTCCAGGTGGGGTTAGATCCTTCCACTGCTCTCCGAGAGATCACTATCGAAGTTTCCGACACCTCTCTCGCGCTAGGCCACAAAGACTCCAACTTCAAAGACGCTACGTCGCGTCGAGAGGCGTTCAATCTCCTTCTGCGCATCAAGAAAAAAGCTGGATTCAAGCTCAGTCTCACAATACACCAAGATTGCATTCGTCTCAACATGTGGCCTGAAATCCTTGAGCTCCTGCGGCCCATCGTCAAGGTGTTTGAGCAGGAAGGAGCCCACGTCAGTGTTAAGTCTGACTATGATCCTTCCGGCCCGCATTGCATTGACGTGGGCCCGGGTGTTAGCACCGATCTCGCACACCTGGTCAGGAACTACGATCCAGAAACTTGGAAGCAGAGCACGAAGCAGAGTCTGATCGATTACTATGAAGAGGTGAGATGGTTATAACTCATCTATGTAGTGATATCTGACAAGGGATTAAGATCGATGATGAGTATATCAGACCATACCACCGCTACTATCGTAGTGAAGAAGACGACCCAGGCTCTGATCCTCATGTCGCTGCATGGAAACGTTTTGTTGGGCCTTCTGGTGTGCCATGAGGAGGATTTACCTCATTCGAGAGGAAGGATGCGTAGCTGAAACTGTGCCGATACCACATCAATCTCAACATTTTAACCACATGCAAATGTACAAGCTTGGCACATGAGGAGTTCAATAATCGTGAGGCCACCCATGAAGCACGCGTAAGTGGGGCAAACCGCTAATCTAGCGCGATTTCGCCTTACGAACATGATGATAATCTACACTTCATGACTGCCGAAGGAGAGTACACGCTTTTGACTGAGACAGCCATCTTCTCTTCTTTCGCGCGATACCAACACCATGAAAAGTTCACACGACTTGGAACAAGACGTGCGCGACACGTGTAACAGACTGTTCATGTTTGTATCTCCATTCTCATACACTGCTGCCTGGACTGCAGAGAATCTGACCTGTCTGACTAGCTTGAAACGCGGAAAAGCTGCTGCAGAGAAGAGGGAGCGTACAGCAGCGAGACATGAGTGGCTATCAGCAGCGGAGAAGAAGACGGAAGTGCAGGCGTAAGTGACCGCCAGCTCTACCCAATTTTGTTCATCGCTGACGCTGCTTGATACACAGCGAGCTCGAAAAATCTTGTGAGCAGTTATCGAGAGCCTGGAACATGTTATGCTCTGCTAGGATGCAAGAGCTACTGCCTACCGAGCTTCGCGAGATGATATATGCACAAATCTGGAATACGGAGTATCTTAACTCTATAAGACAGCCAAATCAGCAGTCCGGTCCTCTTGGCCACTCTGATCCGAGGTGCCATACACATGTTGTTCGCCCCGACTTCATGGGCAAAGAGACAGCCCTGGAGATAGTGCAGGCGTGGTACGAGGCAGCATCTACACTCACACCAGATACTTTCACGATCCCCGATAACCGGGAGTCGATCAAACAAACCATATGCGAAGATCGTTTCAAACTCGGCCTAGACCCAGCCACAGTCCTCAGGACTCTCACCATCGATTTCGACGAGACCACGTCTAGGCTCGCTAGTCCGTATTGCAAATGGCCAGACGCAGCTACACGCCGAAAGTCTTTCGATCTTCTCCACCGGATCAAGAAGAAGGCTGGATTTCGACTCAATTTTCGTATATGCACTCCTAAGTTCCGATTGAACTGTTGGCCCGACTTCTTCGATCTCATGCAACCCATAGTCAAGACCCTTGCCGACGAAGGAGCTATCGTCGACGTCCAGGCTATACATTGTAGCCGGGGCCCTCACCCGATGCCGTATGTCTATGTAGACCTCAACAAAATCGTCAGAGGCCATGATCCAGCGACGTGGAAGCAGGGCGTGATCAAGTATCTGGACTCGGTAATACTAGCCTCCTCGTTATCATCATGCAAGCACCGCGCTGACAAGCAGAGTAGATCTGTGACTGTCGCATTAGGAATCAGGACAGACATTATCGAGGGGAGGACGAGCCGCATTACAATCCAGACGATGGGCAGGAGGATTATTGGAACTGGAATTTGCTCGAAGACACAGGTTTACGACCTTCTGATTTGGATAGAAGGTTGTCGAGACAGAATTGTGGTTGTGATGGCTCCGGGAGGCGCAGGTCGTTTAAGTATGGCTCGTAAGTGGTACGCAAATAAAGCTGTAGGCTGCAGGGAAGTCCTAGGGAGGAAGGCGGGGACGGAAACGTTAATGGATGGGTGCGGAGTCTTCTTCGGTAGTTGCAGCTCGCTGCGCTTCAGGGTTGTTGCTGAGACAAGGGATCGGAATGTTCCGAGGTTGCGGCTGTGCCGCATGCCCGCAGTCGATAAACATACAGTAATCCCAACTCTTAACTTCTTGACCCCCTCCCCCGAGGGCCGTACGTCTCACACTCCCCACGCTTCCCACAGTGTGAGCTCATCGCCATATACAGCCGCAACAATGGATACAGACCTGGAATCAGCGCTCGACTGTCTGCGCGAGTGAGACGGACTATTCGGCCCCACTTCGCTCTTGTGCTAACGAGCTGGCAGCATCAAGCGGAAGGACCTCGATGCTCAGAAAGAGTATGTGAATTCCAGAAATTCTCCAATCTCCAAAACTGTACTAAAAACTGCGTCAGGGTCAACTCAGTCAAGGATGAAATCGTAGCTACTAATGCAAAGCTCGATGCGTTACAAAAACAACGCAAAGAGATGACGAAAAGGAAGATTGATGCGCTTCTCCGGTAAGTGCATAGAGCTCGGAAACTTGAGATCATCCCCAGCTTAATGTAGTTCTACCCACCAGGAATCTTCCGTCAGCTATCCGGCGGTACTCTGCAGCCTGGAGTCTTCCATTCTTCGAAATGTTCCAACAACGTCTACCCCGCGAGCTCCGAGATATGGTCTATTCGCACATCTGGGACAGTAAAACTCTGGCCGATACAAACAGAAGTACCTAGGTATGATACCCATCATGGACTCTCGTTGCCGGAGTTTGCGGCAAGACTGCAAGAAAGCCATGACGACGTTTGTCGAATCGGATGCGATTGACGGCTGCCATCACAACTTGGCACCATACTTTATAAAGCCAGTTTTCGTCGGGCAAGACTCTGCCCTTGAAATGATCGAAGCTTGGTATAGTCGCTTGGCTCGCGGCAACGACTACTATGCAATGGGAATACATGTGACTGACATACCGTCTTTCCTTCATCAAGACAAATTTCATGTTGGTCTGAAGCCTGCAGCTATTTTGCGAAGGCTAGCTGTCGTTTTGAACGCTGATTCAACAATCGCGATCCTCGAAGAAGAATCAGACGGCGCGCATGTTTATAAGCTCCACTTCAAAAGGCTTCTGTCCATCGAGAAGAAAAGGGACTTTACGCTGACTCTTCGGGTCCTCCAAAAATACATTAGGCTCAACGTTTGGCAGCGGATCTTCGACACATTTAGGGATACAGTTGTCAACTTTGAGAAAGAGGGAGGTCGTGTGCGGGTCCAGTTCGTGTACGACAGCTTCTACCCACGTCGAGTACCGAAGTATGATATGCTCCCCGCTCTGAGACATCCAGAATCCAACTGGCGAGAGGATGCAGTACGCTTCTTTGACAATGTAAGATCTTCCCGTCATCCATATCCTACTCACTTCATCTGACCATATGCGTGAACCAGGTTACACGTCTGTGCGACATACACAGGGCTTATCGTATCGAAAACAACGACGATTATGACCCCACTTCACGTCCCGAAGATGGCGATACTCCTTACGGAACGGATGAAGACATCTACAGCGATGAAGGCGATAGCGATGACAGTGTTGAAAGGTATCGCCATGATGGTCGAGGAAATTATTCAGGTGCAGTGTCTTCGCCACGTCAGTACGGAAGTGACCTCATACAATGGAAGAACGACTTACTAGAGGATCTCGAAATGGAAGAAAGTGAGGCAATTAAAGACATGTACGAATACTGGGAGAGCTTCGACGCGCCCAGCTGGGTGGGTGCCTCCTCCGAGTCTGAGCACGTAGATGGACCCGGGTACGACCCAGATTCAGGTTCCGATTGAGAAGGCCGGAATAGCATCACGTGATCACTTATCTCACTCGGGTTTACTACCCTTACTAGTTAGCTCCTCAGTCATTTCAATACATATGATGCTACATAAATCTCTCGCAACCATCAGACGTTCGTGAACACTGACATATACCATGTTGTATGGATGATATACTGCGGCCGTCTTAATAGTGCAGGGATTCGGATCTTCGGAATGCTAGCCGGTCCGATGCCACTAAAGCGCGAGCGCCTATCCACCGTGCCACCTCATATTCTTAGCGACAAGACTTCAACCCCCAAGGTTCATCCGCATTGATCACGCCACCCAAAAACAGCCATGGAGAGAGCAGCTATGATCGATTGGAAGCTATCGGCTGAGTCCGCAGTGCAGCGGCTTCGCGCGTAGGTCTTTGGGCCCTGTCAGCACCTCATGTCAGATCAGTTCTAACGTAGTTGCAGCATCAAGGGTATGGAATTAGACGCGAACGATACGTACGCAAAGCTCCTAGAGCTTCACTGGTGCACCTTGTGCTGAATCCTCCCAGAATTCGTACAGCTACGCGAACTATCTCAGCATTGAGAAGGCAGATCAAAGCATTAAAAATCGAAGAAGCAAGAGCGCGACAGCGCAAGAGAGACGTCCGGCGCGAGTAAGTCTTGATCTCTATGAACTCGAGCAAAGACCTCATACAAGACTCCAACACAGACACCTTCCGTTAGCTCTCTCGGCGTTCACCGCCTCATGGAGTCGCCCCTTCTTCGAGCAAATGCAACGGCGTTTGCCTCGTGAAGTTCGCGACATTGTATACGCATACGTCTGGGACGACAAGACACTGAAAGATACTCGTATAACATATCATCCTAAGTGGAATTGCTCTGGGGGCGACATAGATTGCGACACTCTAGTAAAAACGCATCACCCGGGAACAGTGGACAGCTGCCCTAAACATGGACAAATTCCATACTTTATGAGACCTGGATTCCTAGGGGATGCATCGGCCTTGGAGATTGTCGAATTCTGGTACAAGTCGATCTCAAGAGTAAAACCCGACATATGGGAATTACGAACCACAGACGAACTCGACTACGTTATCCGTGGCGACGCCTTCTCTGTCGGTTTGGATACTACAACTGTTGTGCGCAAGTTGACACTCAGGCTTACTACCGACGGATTCCTAAGGAACAAGGGCAAGGACACCAGCGAATCGAAACGAACTGTCGACGCGCTGCTCCAGATAAAGAATAAGGCGAATTTCAAACTAAGGCTGCGGTTGGAGCAGTCATACCTCCAACTCAATCCCTGGTTCACCGTCTTCGACATCTTCCGACCCATGATCGAGAAATTTGAGGAAGAAGGCGCGGACGTAAGGCTGCTTCTTGTCTACGCCCAAGATCTTAAACCGAAATTGGTGTTCAACATGCTCCCCGCGTTGAAGAATCCCGAATCCAACTGGAGAGAGGAAGCCGCTCGTCACTTCGACAGTGTAAGCACACTAATTCTACATCGCTTGCTGCCTCACACATAGTGACTTACAAACATATAGGATTCCCGCGTACGCGAGCATCACAAACACTATCGCATCGAAAACGACGCAGACTACGACCCGCGGGAACTTAAGAGCAGGGACTACAGCGAGGATGACTGGGAGTCAGACGATTACCTAGGCTATGAAGAAACTGACTCTGACCGCGATGAACATGGCAAATCTGTTTCTCCGGAACCTCCATGGACCCCTTATGAGCCGCCGCGATATTATGGAACTATGTTTAGAGAGGATCAGATTGAAGAGGGGTATGAGCTGGATAGCGCGAGTGAGGGGGATGACTAGAAGGCAGGAAGCTTGTCAATTTGTTGAACTGGGCAGCATTGCTCGTGAAGCTTTAGTATCTTTACAAGAGCTGCGTTCACTATAGATATGTACTTTCTGAAGATACGAGGAAGTAGACATTACCTTGCCCGATTGTGATCAGATACAACATCGTAAGAATAATAACGCATGTCAGCCAGCGAAGTAGCGCAGAGATTCCCGACGTCATGTCGTCGCAACGCTAGCTGTTCCGACGCCACTAGAGCGCCTTCTCACTTCATGTATCCAGCCACTGTGCGTCAACTTCCACTATGCACTCACCCGATCAGGCTGTCTAAGTCCAGCCACGGAGACGGCAATGACCGATGATCCAAAACCGCTGGAGGAGCTCAGCCCACGGACGCGCATCCGACGTGAAAACGAAAGATTGCGTAAAAAGTAAGCTCTACATGCTCAGTAGATCGCGACGTTAATCTGATATGACGTCTACCAAATAGGTACCGTCCCTTGGTGAAAGCGATATGCCGTGTCTGCGCAACATGGAACCTAGCCTTTTGCGAACAAATGCAAGCGCGCCTCCCCTTGGAACTGCGCAACATGGTGTACAAGCATGTATGGGACGCGCCTACACTTGAATCAACACAAGGTTCAATGGCCTACCTCGTCCACCGCCGGTGTAGAGGCGCACGTAAAGGCAAGGAAGAAGAATGCCAAAAGGTGGCCTCGACGTACGAGCCAGGCACAAGATACACCGTCTACCTGCATCCCTGCTACATGCATACCTGGACCCCTTTCTTCGTCAGGCCGGGATACGTGGGTCAGGAAACAGCTCGAGAGGTTGTGGAGGCGTGGTACAAAATCATCGGTACATGGAGGCCTAAGATGTGGAATATAGGGGACCTTATTGAGCTTCAGCACATCATACGCAGGGATGTGTTTTTCGTTGGCCTAGATCCGTCAAAGTTCCTTCGCACTCTGACGCTTGACCTCCATACTGAGAGTCTCTTCACGAGTCGTGACGGCGAGTCGACTCAGGATTGCATCGACTCGCTCCTCAGCATCAAGCGCAAAACCGACTTCAAATTGATCATCCTATTGAGGCAGAGGAACATTAGCTTCAACTCATGGTCTACAGCTTTCGATGCGCTGCGGCATGTAGTTACTGTGTTTGAGGCCGAGGGCGCACACGTTGAAGCTACTTTTACCTACGACAAGGAAAGTCTCTGTCCGAAGATTACCTGGGACTTGCTTCCTGCGCTGAAGAGTGGCAATGACGACTGGCGCGCTGAAGCAGAACGTTATCTTAACTCTGTAAGTGCTCCTCATCACTGTCATCATATATACATACATACTAACACGGCTCTTCAATCCAAACAGGACAGCCGGCTTCGCTCAAGACACAAGGTCTACCATCAAGCTAGCAATATAGCGGACACAGAACATTCCGACGAGTCGGAGTACGATCCTAATGATGATGTCGAGCCCAAGAAAGACACTCTGAGTGATGACAGCGACTTCAACATGAGCGACTCCAACATGTATAGTTTCATTAACGCTCTTCCGCATTTGGGTCGAGGAGACCCTTTTTACGGGACCTATCTTGAGCCGCATGACTTCAAGCCTCCTCCTCCTCCCAAAATACGCCGACCGGCGTGGGAAGACCATATACTGTGGAACGAATAAGGTCCTTGTGCGGAACGAAAGCGGTGGTCATGGTTCAGGCTTTTAAGTCGAACGCATATTCTGGAAGATGAACTCATAACATAAACACTACATATATACAACAAGGCATCAACACCCGTCAATACCTATAAACCTGCCCCCTCTCATGTTCCTTCACATCTACAACTTACTCCCACCCCCCATCAACTCCGCACCAGCCCCACTAATAGCCAGCTTACCCGTCTCCTTAACCTTAGTCTGGAACAGCACGGTATTACCCACCTTCCACATCTCAGTAATCAGTGTCTGACCCGGCAGCACAACACCCGCAAACCTGACCTTGATATTCTTGAACGGGCCATACGTCTGCAGAACGTGTTTACCGGAGATACCAAAGCTGCACAGGCCGTGCAGAATGGGTGTGGGGAAGCCGCCGGCTTTGCTGAACTGGGGGTCGATGTGTAGGGGGTTGAGGTCGCCGGAGAGACGATAGATAGCAGCTTGCTCCTCGGTTGTGCGTTCCTCAACGACGGTGTCGGGGGCGCGTTCAGGTGCCTTGTGGATCTTCGTTGCGGCGCCGCGGTCAGCACCCTTCTTCTGACCGCCGAAGTTGCCAGAGCCGCGGATGAAGACTGTGCTTTCGTTGTAGAAGATTTCCTCGCCTGTCTTTGCGTCCTTGGTAACGCTTCCGTATACGACGAGCCCTGCGGCGCCCTTGTCTACGACCTCGACTAGCTTGGGTACGGCGACGAGCTTGGCTTCGGTGGGGATGGGGAACTTTCGGATTTCGAGGAATTGCTCGCCGTGGAGGAGCATGCGCGGGTCGAAGTTGGGGACGATTTCGTCGAAGGAGAAGGGGGGTTCGGCGTTGAAGGGGGGGACGACACCGAAGGTGGGGATGACTTGGAAGTTCTCGTCGCCTTCGTAGACGAAGGGCAGGTCGGTGCGCTTGGCGCCAATTCCGAGATCTGGAGATAGTGTTAGTTTAGTTAATCATACGGAATCAAGGTGACTTACTGTAAAGAATTACATCCCTCTCGGTGTACTCGAAGGGTGTGCCTTCAGCCTTAGCGGCCAAGGCCTTCTTCTGAGCCTCGAGGACCTCCTCGTTGCTCTTGGTGGGCTTTTTCTCCTTCTTGGCCTTCTTGCTCGTGTTCTCCATGTTCGCCATGATAGACTTGAGACCGCTAGCGTTGTCGAAGGGGTGGTCGGCACGGCCGTCGTCGAAGTTGGTAATGCGTTCCCATTGGGAGACGACAGCCTCAGGAGTGAGCTTGACGTCCACGGGAAAGCCATGTCCGCCAGAGCGTTGCCACCTGGTTGCCGCAAACCAACCAGAACCCATCTCGTATAGGCCACCTGTTGGCTCAGGAGCCTTGTCGGAAACGAGGAGAATGACGAGAGGAGCGTTGTAGTCGGGCTTGAGGGCCTGTACAACCTCTTCGGGGAAGATGCTGCGGGTCATCTGAGTACCGGCGTTAGGAGCAACGGTGTTGACGAAGATGTTGTTCTTCTTGCCCTCAAGAGCGAGGGACTTGGAGAAACCGAGGATACCGCACTTGGCTGAGGCGTAGTTTGCCTGACCGAAGTTGCCGTAGATACCGCTGGTAGAGGTGGTGTTGAGGATGCGGCCGTACTTCTGCTTGAGCATGTAAGGCCAGGCGGCCTTGGTGCAGGAGTAGGTACCGAACAGGTGAACCTTGTGGATGATGTCCCACTGCTCGTCGGTCATGTTGGCAAACGCCTTGTCGCGCAAGATACCCGCGTTGTTGATCAGGATGTCGATGCGGCCATACGTCTCAATGGCGGTCTTGACGACAGACTCGCCGTCCTGAACATCGCCCTTGTTGCCAACAGCCTCTCCACCGAGCTTCTGGATCTCCTGGACAGTGTTGTCGGGGTTTACCAAATCGTTCACGACGACCTTGGCACCACGCTTCGCCAACTGCAAACAGTAGATGCGACCTAGACCAGCACCTCCACCAGTGACAAGAGCGACCTTGCCCTTGAAGTCAAGGGGCTCGCCCTTAGGGTTGGGTGGCAGCTGATTGGCATGCTCGAGGAGCTCAAGCGCGTTCGCCGGGCCTTGTGGGTGTTCGGCCTTGGAGAAGTCGACAATGTCCTTCCACTTGGCTGGAACAGCTTCGGGTGTGAGGGTCTCGTCGGCCTTGAACAGAGCACCGGAGGCTCGCTCCCATCGTAGCTTGGCAACGTGACCCGCGCCCGCCTCGAAGATAGCTCCAGTCTCGGTAGACGACTTGTGTGTAAGGACAGCGACGAGCGGGACAATCCACTCAGGCTTCATCTTCTCCAAAACATCCGGAGGCATGACGGTCTCGGTCATTCGGCTGGCGGCGATCGGAGCGACGACGTTGCAGAGGATGTTGTACTTCAAGCCCTCCTTTGCGAGTGTCTCGGTGAATCCGACAAGAGCGAGCTTGGCAGCTGTGGAAGTTAGCAGACATTCATTTCTTCACAAAACGCATGTGCATACCAGAGTAGTTTGTCTGTCCGAAGGATCCGAAAAGACCGGCAGCAGACGCAGTGCTGATGACCCTTCCGTACTTCTGTTTCCTGAAGTATGGCCACGCGGCATGCGCGCACTTGTATGCTCCGTAGACATGGACCCGGTAAATCAGATCCCAGTCTGCCTGCTTCATGTTCTTGAAGCTGACATCGCGCAAGATACCAGCGTTGTTGATGAGGATATCAATGCGACCGAAAGTGTCGATAGCAGTCTTGATGATGGATTCTCCGTTCTCGACCGAATCGTAGTTGGCGACCGCCTTTCCGCCAGCGGAGCGGATGGTGTCAACGACCTTGTCTGCGGCCTGTCGGGTGAATTAGCAGTGAATGAAGGACTACAGCTGAAGAGACATACCGCTGAGCCCGCGCCCTCGCCCTTGAAGCTGCCACCCAAGTCGTTCACAACGACGTTCGCGCCGCGACTGCCGTAGAAGACAGCATACTCGCGACCGAGACCACCACCCGCGCCCGTGACCACAACGGTCTGGCCATCATATCGCAGCTCCTGCGCAGCCATGATGTATTTTCTGTGCTGTTCGAAGAGGCTACCCCTTCGTTCTTTCGCGGAAAGAAGTTGCGCTTCAGGAATCTCCTATGCAAGCAAGCAACAAAGGTACTTGTAAAGTCAAATGGGTATCAGCAAAGATCCCACGATAGAAAAGTGTATGATATGGAAAGTGTGAGGATGAGAGGATAGGTGGCTCGATGCGTGGAGGATGGCTCAAAAGTAGGGTCGTTCGCGATCTGACCCGGTCGTGTCTCATGAAAGCAGCCGAGCTGTTGATGATGACGAGTTACCTCGGCCCCGACGGCAGTTGGTCATGTGTGGGGATTGCGCACCGTGCACCTCACGCTTTCACATGTCCGCGTCTTGCTCCCCATCATCAGCTGGACGGGTCCGGGGTGTCACATGATAGTGATTAGAAGGTGCGCAATCTCACGCTCGCATATCCTGAGCGTACAGTCTTGGCTGGAGAAATTCGATGAAATGATGATTCTTGAGCGGATGTGGGGCTGCGAAATGCGCCGCATGAGGCCCGAACACGTATCGTACGCGTCCTAGATATCGCCATACTGTGGTGTATTGGAAACGAAACAGATGCGATGGCGGATGTGTCTTTCTATCACAGCTGTATCATGCACTGGAAGTGACGGTTTCTTCTTCTTGGGCATGTCACCAAAAGATGGGCGTCCTACCCAAACAATACACCGAATAAATCACTAGTAACAGTAGTGAATCTAGTACAGAGGAGCCCGTCGACCTCTTCGTGCTGCGTGATGGCATTCTGATTGACTTCAATCTACTAGACTTCGCTGGATCAGATAATGTAGAGCCTGCTGTCGAACTTTGGTCTTGTTCGAGGCCTGCTGTGCAAGCGCAGCAAGCCCGCGAAGTCAAATACCCACAAGCCAGGCCCAAACCTTATCACCCGACTAAGCACAGTCGACATCATCGATCCTTTGCAAACACGATTCTCCTCCAGGATCATTGCAACCCACTCAACATCTGCACTATGCCGAAGGCATTGCGGATCCAGACCCTCGTCGTTACCGCTTGTTACCGGATATTTGCTTGCTCGCTCAAAGTCAAGGCCGAGAGACTCCACAGCGCTTTCGTACATGAGCGTCCTGGGTACCATTCTTGCTACGCTGGCTCCCATCATGCGCGGTTCGGCCCGTTGACGGACTTGACCGCTGTAAGTATTCGCGTACCTACCTTACCGAGCGTTGAGATCTTCTGGAGTGCACCTATTACATGCCGTGTTTTATTACTGTCATTGAGTAGAGGTGTAAGGCGTCGAATTAGCGGAGCCAAAGACTTGTAGACACTGAGCAGGGGAATGTGCGCCGGACGCTACCATGACCGACATCACACCGACTACCACATGACGGATATTGTATAGTGAGGCAGACGACAATGTTCTGCTCAGTCTGTGGCCGGACATAAATTTCGCATCTCTTTGAGTCGCGCTTTTCGGTCGATACAGGTGCTCAAGAGTTTCTCGTAGGAACAAGCCGCGAATTCTTCCGGTGTAGGTGAAATTGTTGAAAAGTTTCTGCTTGTGGTGCCTACATGATGCACTACTTTCTAATGCATCGGAGCCGATGACATAGCCGAATACGGAATGGGCAAAGCTCGCGAGGAGGCGTTATAGGAGTAGTAATCATCGTCGACATACCAGCCTCAAGAATCATATGGATGTAGATTTTCGATGTGCGATTGTGGGCACGAAAACCCCCACAGATGCGGGTGGGTGTAACCCGTGCGCCTCATCTTCCTTGCTTGGTCCGGGTCGGATGAACTTTTCTCTTGTCACGAAACAAATGCCTGTTGATTTCTGGTCGGAATCGACATCTGAAGGCTACGTTCTTGCTAGAACGCCTCTGGAATCAGCATTATCCAGATTCTGGCGCCCCTGAGTGATCAAATGACAACGAGTGTCGCGTCAACAAACCGTATACATCTCGACAGACCAAAAGTCGTGTGGGGGCTTGGTCCGTCTCCGACGACTGTGCGTCTTTGCATACATGTGGAGTTTCCATTGCATCTATTGCATCCATCGAATGTGCGTGGGCTGTGATGCGGAGGTGTTGATTGGCTGTTTCCCTCACGAAACCATCGGCGCCGTGTGAAGTTGTCGTCCTTACGTTAAAGAAAGTCGGAGAATATTGCGCGGCATGCTCTCTGCCTAAACATGTAGCTGGCCGAGAGTAGGCTACACTAAGCCTATAGTTATCAACCGGCAGCTGTCATGTTAAGATCCACGGATTAATGAACGCACAGGGCAGCAGGGTTGCAACACCTGGCCTGTTAACCATCGAAGATTCTGATAGTCGTGGCGACAATGGGAACCCCTAGGCGCTGCGTCCAGTCATAACCTACACGTCCAACAGCCACAAGAATGACGTTGTGGCTTGGCTTTGATGGGCCTGTATCCCGAGGCCATGTCAGCGGTGTCGTTTTTCGAGAAGACTGTCAGCGGGGCCATCCGTCCGGGCATGCACCACGTGCCCATCAACGACCGAATCTATACACTAGCGCAAGCAATGCTTGCCTTCACGGCGAATCGCTTCTGGTGCAGCGGAATTGCTTCCGGTGGCATTTTTGTCTAACATGAGTAGCAAAGATGTCCTAGTGAAGAAAATCCAGGTAGGCGGAGGTGGGCCTCCCCCTGTCTCACCTGACGCTGAACACTTACCACATATGCCGATGTGTCAAGAATTGCAACGAGCCAGATACGAGATTTGGTGATGCTTCGTACCGGTATGACTGTGAAGGTCCTCGGATGAGTCCTTTGTACGGGAGACGTGGACCCCTGATTGCCAGTCCGCAGTGGCGACACGCCTCGTTTTGATCCGACTCTTAGCGAGTAGGATGTTGAATGGAAGCAGTGGAACGATCTGCTCATCTTTCCGCCTTCCAAAATGGATGTTGCTCCCGCCGATGCAGTAGCCTCTCTAGCTACATATGTCACCGAATCGTGGGGATTGTCCTGATGCTCAGAAGCAAGCTGGAGAGATAGCGCCTGGTTTTATGGAGAGCGAATGTGATCAACCTTGGTCATTCGTGATTCGAGACTTGCGGCCACTTCGTCAGCCTGCTTTTAGTGACGTTTCCTCTCGCCACGATATCGGATAATTTTGCGCCTTTACCGAGCTTGTTGCCAGCTCACAGCGATATGCAGATCGCAAAGCCTACAGCGTCGGGCTATCGTCGTGCTGTTTCCATGAGGTCCGCATCATCGCCATCATACACCACAACTCATCTTGGGCCGCCCTTTCCATCGTTTGGTGTTGCCTGCGTATCCTATCGTGTTCTCAGAGACGTGAGTAACAATGAGCGAAGATACAGAAACAGTTAGCGTCCAGGGCCGAGAGTTCCAAAGAACATCCCTCGACGAGGGTGTCTACTACGCCCCGGTGGCCTTTGACGACCGCGAAGAGAGCAGACTGACAGCTCAGCACGAAATTGTGTCCCGTATTTTCGGCGATGGACTGTTCTCCCCTCGAATACCAATGGGAGAGCCCGAGGCAATATTGGAGTGCGGCTACGGCGGTGGAGACTGGGCTGTCCAATGCGCAGATGAGTTTGAGGATTGTGAGGTGCGTATTTGACCCCATGACAGCCATACAGGATGAGATTGGTACTTCCAATGTGGCTCGTATCGATCGTAGCGTGTTAACAGTCTCAGGTAACTGCTCTTGACATCTTCCCCATGTGAGTTAAGCCTGTACATAGGGCATGCGGGTACGAAAACTGAGCAGTCATCCCATGTCTAGGCAGATGGACCGACCCGAGAACCTAGACCTGGTCGCTCATAACCTCAACGATCCTCTTCGTGATCCCGAAATATTCAAAGCGAATCACTACGATCTCATCCACTCGCGGTTCGTGTTTCCAGGCATTAAGAGCGGCAGATGGAATGGATACATCAGAGATATGAGGTTATTGCTACGGCCGGGAGGTTGGGTGCAGATAATGGAGTATTTGCCGATTATCCAATCACACAATGGACGTCTTACGGACCAGAATGCTGTGCGAAGATGGTGGCAGGAATACCAGGGCGCCATGGCGGACATGGACCGTGACCCGCGGATAGGTCGACGATTGAAGCGGCTGTTGCTCGACAACAGATATCGAGACGTCGAAGTCGACATAGTGCAGCTTCACATAGGTGACTGGTCGAAAAGTGAGTCTCCCGTTGTGTTCCAACGTTGAATGTTGTCCGATCGTGGGAGGGAATGGGTCTTTCACTGTGGTTGGCCATCACCCAGTACTCCGAAACATCCTACTGAAGAGCAGTACTGACAGTCGATATACAGATGAGGCCCAAGCTAGCATCGGTAGAGACTCTGTCGAAGTACGTATGCGTCCCAGTTGTAGAAGGTGGGTGTGTGCTGACTACGCGTCATCCGTCCAGATGATTGGTGACCTCCTTGAGTCACTTGGGCTGTGGCCGTTCACATCGAAACTGGATTGGACAGCTGCGCAGTTCGAAGACCTTATGCTGGAAGTTCGTGCAGAGCTCCAGAATGTGGAACTGAACCTATACATTGAGTTGTAATGATGACCCGTCCTGTTTTATGAAGTATGTCTAATCCGCTTCTAGGTATGTTGCTAGGGGCCGGAAGAGCACTCGGTGATGTCGTGTGCGTTGACTCGCATCAATGTGGGCTACATAGCGTATAGTAGATGCCGCAGGACGTATGATAGTGCAGCTTGTGCACCCACGAGGTGTAGAGGGTCGGTCGACATAGGCGGTAGAGAGAGATTCTTCCTGTAGTAGTCAGACTTGTATGCTCAGATTCGGGTAGTGAATGCGATTGTACCTTATCCAGTAGCTGTCAACAGGCTGCCCTCAAACTAGCCGGGCTGATGTGCACTCCAAACGTCCTCCAAACATTCACAGTTCCAGGTTAGAATTCGTGGTGAGGGTTCCAGTCGTGCCTTCCGTTCCTTCAAGCTTCTCAACTCAAGGCAAACCAGAAGCACATTCGTCACTGCCTCCGGCCAAGAGACGGCGCCGATTGCAGGAGCTATTCCTTTGGTCGACGCAGCGGTGCTGCCGTGCTATGCCGTCACGGATCTGTCGAGTTGATGACAAGGAGACCGGCGCGTGATTGTAGCATCGTGGAAGCTGTCTCCATTGCAAATAGTCAGCTCCAGACCGCGATGAGGGACTGCTGGTCAAACAGAAGATGGGGCGAATCGGTAGATGGTATGCAGCAGGGGAGCACAGCATCGGCACGGGTGCTGCGATACATGGACAAATGGAATGAGGATGAGAATTTGGAAAGGTAAAGAGGGTCAAACACACGAGGGAAGGTGGGGCGACTGAACAGGGACCAGGCTATGGGACGCTAGAGGCCCTGAAGAGTGAGGGTTCGTCGTGAGGAAGGAACCACCACGCTCAACACACCTACGTCAACTGTCGAGATTGCGTCTTTGCTCCCACGGATCGAGAAGGGGGGTGTAAACACAGCCGACCGATGCAAATGGGATTTAATCGGTACCTCTCCTTGTCTGCAGCCCAGTTCCCCGACAGTCTGGTACCGAGATACGCGCTCTAATGGGGCGCTTTCCTGGCTAGACGCCAACGCCTTTGCGACTTCGCGACGAGACAGCCGAATGCCGCTTCATCGGCATCGAGTCCCCTCAATTGTGTCAGGCTTCGGCTTGCCGAAGTTTTAGCTACATGAAGTCTCTGCTTTCTCGCTACAAACTCTATACGGTGTTGTTCCCATCTCAGCACTACCGCTATCGACGTTGGACTATCGAGTGCTTTGGTCCAATATGGTTAGACGCATCCACCAGCGATAGCCTGCGCAAGACGCGTGCACCGGGGAAGCGGGCACGGTCAAGGAACCAACGGCTTCGATGCGAGACACCTCCATGTCAGTATTGGCGTGCACAAAGGTTGTCTCGTCAAAATGTCGATCCGCATTCAGTACACGATCTGAGCATCCTAGCGACAGATCGAAAGTGTACCAGGAAAAACAAATCCTCGGCCTTCAGCTCCAGAAGAAGCATATAAAGACAACACACGATCGGGCCATCTTCCGATGAGACAGGCCAACACTTACTTGCGCCATTCTTCTAATGCACCCCTTCCACGAAGTGTCCGAGCGAGCACTTCGACATTGGAATGTGCCCTTCGTACCTCCGCAGACTGTACACATGGACTAGTGTGAACGACATGCGGCATACAATAAACTCGCTCATCTCGCCGAACTCTGGTTCTCACTGCGATCCCGGGTTTTGTGCATCGAGACCTCGGCCGGAGGAACATTAAGCACGCTCGGCGGCAACCGACCGACACACCAGAACGTTATGAAGCAACAACGACGTCACCACACATCCCCAGATCTAGTCTGCCCCAGACCCACCAGCCACGTGTGATCTCAACGCATTCATGGATGGTCGCAACGGTGCCTTAGGATGACAATCCGGCGCGTAAATTAGCGATGACATATCGAGCATCGCAGATCGAAAGCTGTCAGTGTATCGCTGACAAACATCAACACAAAGACCACGGTCAATGCAAGTTCATGTCGAGGATGCGACGTATTTATTATTGGCCCAGGTTTCAATCTCCGGTTCATCGACACCAGCCTCGGATCGAAAATGCACACCTGTTTAGCCTGATCCCAGACCGTCCACACCCGTAAAGCGTATAGCTCCCGCGACCGGCATCATTTCCATGAACAACCGGGCTCGCGTCCCCAATTTCCCCGCGTACCAGCTGCAATTAATCATGAAGTATTTGCCGACCTGGTTTAGCCCCATGTATCGGCGGAAAGGAATGATTAGTGCTTTGGAGAAGTCCCGCCCGCCTCCATAGGCTTAGCGATATAAGTACCTGTGTATGTCTCGGCGCAAATTTTTGTTACCGACAACCTGGCTGTCTCATAATGGTTTCTTCTTGGTCGATTCGATTGCTCGTCGCTAATCTAGCAATTACTGGGGGTGTCGCAGGAGGCTGGCGTGATGGAAAGTTCAAGACGTTGGTGACGTTTGGAGATAGTTACACGGATGAGAACCGACTAGGATACTTCATCAACAACAATGGCTCTGCACCACCTGTGGCATGGCAGCAGCCTGTGGTACGTCAAAAGTGTTATGAAACCACTCTCAACCTCAACTAAAAATGAACAGGGCCTAGCAACAGCTTCAGGCGGCCTCTCCTGGGCTCGTTACGCCAGCATCTACTCCAAAACCAACCTCTACAACTACGCCGTCTCAGGCGCCGTATGCTCCAACGAAATAACACCCCGCTACTTCTCCGCCATCGACGCCCCCTTCCCCGACATCGCAGGCTACGAACTCCCCGCCTTCATCGCCGACTCCACAGCCACCACATCCAACGGCACGCAATTCTTCACCGGCAAGCCCTCCTCCACCGTCTACGCAATCTGGATCGGCACCAACGACCTCGGCAACGGCGCCTTCCTAACCGACAGCCAAGTCCCAAACAAAACCGTAGCCGACTACATGGACTGCGTATACTCGCAAATCGACCGCCTGTACGAAAACGGCGGCCGCTACTTCGTCATCATGAATCTTGCGCCGCTTAACCTTCTGCCTCAGTACCAGCGACCCGGCGAAGGCGGCCTCCAATCAACGCAATACTACCCTGATACCCCCGGGAAAAACCTAACAGAAGTCCACGGCCGCATGCAAAACACTGTCGCAGCTCTCAACCAAGTCTACGCCTACCGCACGCCTTTTGCCGCGGAGATTGAAGAGCGCTGGGAAGACGCCAAGGTAGCTTCCTTTGACGTCAATGCGCTCATGACGGATATGTACTATAACCCGTCTAGCTATCTGAATGGGACGGGCGCGCCGTTGAATGTACAGGGCGTGGAGAGTCTTTGTGATGAGCAGGGAAGTAATTGTACGAGCACGGATAGTCCGGATAGTTTCATGTGGTTTGATCCGTTGCATCCGAGTGAGCAGACGAGTAGGGTTGTGGCGAGGGAGTTTGTGGGGGTGTTGGGCGGGAAGAGTCGATGGGCTAGTTATTGGGGGTGTTAGGAGGGTGTAGTTGAGGCTGTAAAGCGTGGAGGGAAAACATGAGCAACGTAATCAATGTTGAAATGGTAATATACGATCTATACTTATCTTACAAACGTGATCTGTTGCTGTACTCCTTCTCTTCAAAACGTGAATACGCCAACCCGCTATGCTATGCCATGCCTATCAAAACAACAACCCACCCAACCCCCTCCCGCTATGCTATTCAAACAACAATCCATCCCCATCCACCATCCCATCCAACACAGATACCCCAAACTCGCTCTCAACAAAACTTAGATACTCCGACACCACCTCTCCAACCCCTTATCCCCACCCTTAACCCCCCTCAGCACCTCACCCACCTCCTCCAAACTAACATCACACCTAACCATCCCAAACGCACCCACAGCCCCTCCAGTCAAAACCGGCATGCACAACCCCAGTTCCACAAGCCCCTCCCACTCGCGCCTCGCCACATCCTTGCCCCACACTTTACTCGCGCCGCTACTACTGCTCAGCCCGCCTGCGGCCGATTGAATGCGCGCGCGACTGGCGAGGGTGACGTATTCGTCGTAGGCCATGTTGAAGTTGCAAGTGTCGGAGTCGTGGATGATGTCTAGACGCGCGGCGGCGATGAGGAGGGAGAGGGAGAGTTGGGAGAGCGAGGGGATGAGAGTTAGTTTTGAGTCTGGGGACGAGAGGGTGGTGGTGGGTTGGAAGGGCGTGGTTGGGGAGAGGGTGGCGGTGGGGAGGAGGAAGGTGGTTAGGATTTTGGGGACGGATTTCGAGAGGTAGAAGGTTGGGGCTAGGTGTGTGGTTAGGAAGGTGGGGGTTGAGAAGAGTTTCTGGGACGGAGGGTTAGCTTCGTTGTGGTTTAGTAGGGAGTGTGTGGGATGGGCTTACGGAGATGTTGGTGTTCCATTGGGATAGTGCGTCTTCTTTGGTGTCGCCCTTCTTCCCCTTCCTGGCTGGCGTGGTCTTGGTACCGCCTTCTAGTATACCTCTTTCCTCGACGCTCAATTGCTCGGGCTGTATTAACAAACACGCTTTGCATGTTTCTTGGAAGGCGGTAAACGTTGTTGCCAATCTGAGATGTACGTAGCGGTGGCTGAAGCGACTCTTGACACGCTTCTCGAGACTGTTAGTCACGTCGATGCGTGTTGTCAGTCCCAAGACCGCGATGGGCGCCTTTCGTGACTGTGCTATATCGAATAGATTGTAGAGTAACGTCTGGCGGGGGTGTTGAGCGAAGAGGTCAAACTCGTCCATGACGAAAACGACGGCTTTGGCGACTTCGTCAGTTACCTCACCAGTCTGTTCGGATGGGTGAGAAAGCAGAGCGAGCAGCGTCGCTAGCGTATCGGCATAGTTCTTTCCCGGGCCGCTCCCATCCTCCTCGATGTCCATCTCTTTCCCTAACTGGCGCCAGATCTCACGGAGTGCAATCTTGTCGTCTGTGTGGACAAAGCCGTTCAGCCGGACAACGTGGTATTGACCACCGTTGTCTTTGGAGACTTCGGAAAGGACTTTGTTGACGAGTGCCGTCTTCCCACTACCCCGGGCTCCGATGACGAGCATTGAGTTGCCTTCACCAGCAGTAATAGTATGCTCGACAAGCTGGTGCACAGACTTGTACTCTTCGTCTAAACCAACTAGAGGCGATGGACGTTTGCCGGTGATACGCTCCATGACGATAGTTCTCAAGAGATCAAGCTCGCGGCCCGGTGCAATGTCGCTATAGATGGCCGATAGAGCGAGCTTCTCCTTTTCCTTCTGTGCTGATGTAGGCTTGTTGAAGGGACTGGGTTCCGTGGGATCCAGCAAACTGTCCAAGATGCTGTTCCCATCTACCTCCATATCATCCTCGTCATGACCATTGGCCTGCTCTTCCGCATTCGACCAGCGCTCCTCGTCGTTGTTGGCGATATGATCGGTGCGGTTGAAGCGTCTTCGTGCACTAGCAGTGAGCTTCCTGTTGCTTGTGGGAGAGCCATCGCCGAGTTCGTCCTCGCTTTCCGGTATGGTTGTTTGCTCTGCTGCTGGTTTTCGTCGCTTGGCGGACTTGGAAGGCGTGGCTGCGACTGCCTCTTCCGACTCGGGTTCTGTCGCTGCTGCCTTCTTTCGTGTACTGGTAGCCGGCTTTCGTACGGAGCGTGGCTTCGAGGTCTTAGCGGCTTTGGTTTCGTTCTGCAGCTCATCCGTCTCATCCTCCTCGGGGATAGGACTAGGGTCTCTCTTCTTGCGCGCACTCGCTCGTGGGGCAGCTGGTTTGCGCGCCGACGCAGCTGGCTTCCGTACAGCCTTTGCAACTTTTGCAGGTGCGATGACATCCGTCGATGCCTCTTTCAAAGCGGCCCGACTTGCAACTTCCGCCTTTGTAGGTCGCCCCTTTCCTCGCTTCGGTGGTGTGTTTGTTTGCGTCTCCTCCTTGTCCTGCGCCGCGATTGGGGTGTTCTCTTTGAGCGCTTTCTGCGAAGGTTTGCGGACCCGCGTTGGTCGTGAGGATATTTCGACGTTCAATGCGCCCTCGATGTCATCGTAGATGTCAATCTCTTCTTCTGCCGCACGCTTTGTCGCAGTGCCATTTGTTGCGCCCTTCAGCGCCCGGCCTTTACGCACTGGCGCTGGCTTCTTTTCCACATTCTGTTCAGAATCGCCGTTCGTATTCGTCGTGGTTCGGGCTGCAAGCCTGCCAGAGGCTTTCCTGGTTGACGGCTTTGTTGACGGGCTCGATTCGGTGCGCTTCGGGGTGTCGAGCTTTCTCCGCTTAGAAGAACGTGGCGATTCGTCCATTGCGGTACTTGGGACGTTTTATTATCGTGTATGTATAGTTGATGGCTGTTCGTTATTGGGAATGCATCGTGATGGTCGTATGCGCCAAACGTTTCGAGGTGGTGAAAGCGCTGGTCAAGGCGCGTCTATCCACAAGTCGCGTCGCGCTACAATTCCGCTTCCCGCCCGGGCGCCCCTGCATCATCCCAAGAGCCATCCACCCTCGCTTCTCCATATGCAGACGAGCACCAAACACCACACCAGCCGAGCGCCAGTACTAAGCGTACAATCCATATCGGACCTTAGACTGAGTCATCATGGCTCCGCAGTCGGGCTCTTGTCGTGACTTTTGCGCTTTCCGACGGGCCCAGGGCCTCAGAGCCCCACTCGACCGTACATCGAGCACGCCCTACAAGTGATTCCCAAGCTAACGGCGTTACTACTTATCTCAACATACCATGGAGACTGTAAATAAGTATGAGTCTGCTGCCATCGATTCAACATCAAATTTGAGCACTCAATGGCTTCAAATCATACCACCCAGGTCGATTTGACCACTTACCCACAGCAGCCTTCGGCGGCGACAACGGATATCGAAATACTACGCCAACACGAAGATGACGATCAACGTCTCAACAGTGACGATGGCTTCTCCCTTCCGCCCACCGATGGTGGTAAGGATGCCTGGCTCTGCCTGTTCGCCTGCTTTATGCTTGAAGCGATGATCTGGGGGTTTCCTTCCTGCTATGGTGTCTTCCAAGAATACTATGCTACTAGTGAGGAGTTCTCCGGTCAAAGCAACATAGCCGTTGTCGGTGCTTGCGCAATGGTATGTTCTACGAATCTTGGTTGGTTCCCATTCTGACACTCCTTTAGGGCATCATGTACATGGATATCGCGTTCTGGTTTGCCGTGCTCAAATACTTTCCCAAATTCCGCACCTGGGCCACACCAGTCGGTCTAGTTATCGTTTGTCTCTCCTTGGGTCTCGGATCTCTGTCAACGAGCGTAACGCACCTTATAGTCACTCAAGGCATCTTGTACGCACTCGGCGGCGGCCTCGCATGGACTCCAATTCTCTTCAACATCGAAGAGTGGTGGGTACGCAGAAGAGGCTTTGCCTATGGAGCCACCATGGCTGGTCTGGGATTGAGCGGGGCCATCCTCCCTCTTATACTCGAATGGCTCCTACACTCATACGGATTCCGGACAACTCTACGAGTATGTGCGCTCAGCTTCGTGGCCCTCAACTTTCCGATAGTCTTCTTCTTCAAGCCTCGACTTCCACTATCGCAAACATCGCAGTCCAGAGGTTTCGATCTGTCGTTCTGGACTTGTTCGAATTATCTGATCCTGCAATCCGGCAACATCATCCAAAGTCTTGGCTTCTTCCTACCAGCAATCTATCTACCCACGTTTGCTCGGTCTATTGGCGCAGGTAGCATCGAAAGTACCGTCACTATCATCCTCGTCAACGCCGCTGCGTTTGTCGGATGTCTATGCATGGGTATCGCTACCGACAAGTACCATGTGACGACCTGCCTTATGGTCTCTGCGCTGGGGTCAACAGTCGGCATCTTTCTACTGTGGGGGTTCTCTACATCACTAGCGCCATTGTACATGTTTTGTATCGTCTACGGCGCCTTTGCTGGCTGTCAATCGAGCGCCTGGAGTGCAATCGTTGCAGACACTCAAAAGAAGCGCAGAGGCGCGGATTCTGGCTTCGTATGGGCGTGCCTATCAGCTGGGAAAGGAGTAGGCAACTTGTGCAGTGGTCCGCTCTCAGAAGCATTGCTACATGCTGGTGATTGGAGTGCAGGCTTTGCTTATGGCAGCGGATATGGCGCGTTGATCGCCTTCACAGGTGTGACCGCACTGTTGAGTGGCTGGGGATATGCTGCAAGGAGAATTGGATGGATATGATCCGATGCCTCTGGATGCCTGACGTAGTTCATTGCCGAGGTCTGCGTCCCGCACGGCAGTACGTCACACATCACGCCGTTATTACATTTCAAACACCAAGCAGGTCTCCCGATGCTCAAGTAGACGATGTGCCCGTTCCTGTTACAGAGCAACCATGGTCGGCATCTGGTTGCGCCAATCAGCTAGCGACATGCCCTCTTGGCGTCGAGGTACGCGTACGCCTGAAACAGACCCACCACTACCATCAACATGCGATCGGCCCTCCCGCTCGCATCTCGACCTCTCCCTCGAAACATGTTGGCTTTCTACCCAATCTATCCATGGCCATCGCAGCCTTGCTTTTACGCAAATTACCGACTTGGCCCTTGTCACCCACCTGTTTACAGCTTTGTTTTATAGCGTGCACAACGATTCCATTGGAGAAGGTCATGAAACTCCACAAGCGATCGGCATGAAATCCCCATACTACAATTTACGAATCAGGCCATGCAGACGCGGTTCCTGGCTAGACTTGCAGAGATTGCCCACCAAGCCCGCGCCGCCGCGTCTTCGCAATGTCTTGATCGATCTTATCTGTAACTAGCAGGTGGGCGCACAGACGCTTGCTCATAGTGATTCTCCCAGCTCCAGCAACTTCAAACGACTGGGCAATCTGGGGGCGGCGGGCCCGCGGGTATGCTGGTTTGAGATGAATTGAGTGGTTGATCATGGGTAGATCATGGCCTGGAAATCTCCGAAACGAAACAGAAGAATATATATCTAGGGCTCTCTGGCCTCAGTTTGTTGGATCATCAACACAGTTCTTCACAGATCAGTTGTCCAGCACTCTTTCTCTCTTCCTCTTCCTCTCTCTCTCACACTTCGGGCAGGCCTTTCTTTGCTCTACCCAAGTTCACTCTCTCTAGATATCCTAGTGGTATATACATTCTTTTTGGCTGAGCCACTATCTTTACATTTCAACAACTTCAGCCTCAAACATCCACACGGACTTTTCTACACTATCTCCATCAAGATGAAGTACTCCGTCCCCGTTGTCCTCGCTCTCTCGAGCAGCGCTGCCGCCTTCCCCCTCGGCGACTACCTCGACGCCATCTTCGGCACCAAGGACACCCGTCAGGCTCCTCCCCAAGCTCCTCCTGGCTTCCCTTCCATGGGCATGCCACCAATGGGTTCCCCCACCCCAGGTTTCCCTCCCATGGGTCCTCCCATGGGAACTGGTGCACCAACACCTGGCTTCCCTCCAATGGGTGCCCCAACCCCAGGCTTCCCCCCAATGGGCCCTCCCTCCGGTCTCCCTCCCATGGGCGCACCAACCCCCGGTTTCCCTCCCATGGGCCCCCCCATGGGCACCGGCGCCCCAACACCCCCCGGCTTCCCCATGCCTATGCCCACCGGCGGCTTCCCAGGCGGTCCCGGCGGTCCAGGCGGCTCCAGCAACATGCCACCCTCATGGCCCGTCCGCGCGCGCGCCGCCCGCAACCTAGCCATCGACTACCAGCTCGCCCCGCGCCAAGGCGGCGACCTGCCCCTCCCTTCCTTCTCGCTCGCAGACCCTGAGAACGGCGGCGCACCTGCTCCTACTGAGTCCTCCTCTGGCGGAGGCGAAGAAGCTCCAGGTGGATTCCCCGGCCTACCCACTCCCACTCCTGGTGCCCCCGAGGGCCCCGGCGGCGGTTTCCCAGCGCCCACAGGCGGATTCCCGGGTTTGCCCACTGGTGCGCCTGAGGGACCTGGTGGACCTGGTGGACCGGGTGGTTTCCCGACTGACCTTCCTTCTTTCCCTATGCCGACTGGCATGCCTGGTGGTTCAGGTGGTTTCCCTGGTCTGCCTGGTACTGGCATGCCTGGTCTGCCTACTACCATGGAGACGATGACGCGTGGACCTAAGCCAACCGGTATGCCTGAGCTGCCTGGTCAGGAGGATGGTCAGCAGGGTCCTGGTGGTGACAACGGTTCCGGTGGCTGGTGGAGCTGGCTCGGTGGATTGTTTGGCGGTGGTAAGGGAGACGGCGAGGGTGCTGGAGCTGGTGAGGGTGAGGGTGCTGGAAGTGGAATTGGTGCTTAGATGCCCGATACCCCCTTGACATTTGGATGATCGGAGGAAGGAAAGGCGGGATGAAGACGTCTTGATGGCGTGATTGGTTTCTATTCTTGTCAAAATACTTCACACTTTCACTTTACTACAAAGAAATCATACATGCCAACACGGTAGAATGACAGACAAACGAATTATCTCAGCACAAGGATCACTTCCACACCATGTTCTCCAGTGTCTTCCATGGACTTAGTCAGATATCAAAGATGAAGATAAGATGCAATTATCTATATCAACAACATGTATACCACAATGTTAAAGAACGTAAATCATCAAAATTGACCGCCGCCGTTGAGGGCAGCAATCGGGTATCTCAGAAAGGCAGGCCATGCCCACATCACCATTCCCCTCCTCCTCCCCAAACTATGCTTCTTGAACTTTTTTAGGGTTCCCGCACCATGATCTTAAATTTTTGTGTGACGGTCGTCGGGTTGAAATGACGCCTCCCAGATGCATATGCATATGCTTTGTAATGCTTTCACTTTTTGAAAGTACCTATTATGACCGATTTGCGCCGAGATATAAAGAGTCGGAGAGATTTGCGCTTGTTGAAGTGCAAGAGTCCTGTTGAAAAAGGGACTCTGTTGCGTATGTTGTTGAAGACCGAAGTGATGGTGGAGATTGTCCGAGGGAAGCTCCTCAAGAGTTGGGTCTTAATGTGTTGAATACAGTGAGACCGGGTGTCGTTGTAGAATCCATGCAAGCCTAGTTGGACATTGCAAGGCTCCTCATGCCATTGGTGACCTCGACAGCGGCTGCTTTGGCAGCGTCGATGAGGCTTGGGTTCTCTTCTTTGCGAGGTCCGACTTTCTCGCCGTTCGTGCCGTTCACATTGCTTTCGCCGTTTACTGGCTTCTTCGCTTCCTCCCCGTTGGTGCCAGGCACGTCAACGCTGTTGGGGTCGACCAGGGGCTTGTCCATATCCTTGACTTCTAATCCGTCGAAGATGGGGAAGATGCCGCGAGTGGCGTGGAAGTCGTTGTGTACTGCAAGAGCGTTAGTTGAAAAAGCGCAATGAGTAAGCGAATAGACTCACCGATGTTCAGGAGGTACCAGGTGTCTACAACATCCTGGATCACGTAACGTGAAGGACTGACACCAGCATGGCAGTTGGCCCACTGCTGTCCGAGACGGTAGAATTCGTCCTTCCAGGCGAGGAAGCTGACTGTTTCGACAATGGTTGGCTGCACGATCTCTTTGCCCGGGAAGACACCCCAAGTAACAGCATTTGGTCCTTCGTTGGGAGCGTTCGTCTTCAAGTCGCCATCCTTGTTGACCGCGTAGTATGTGAACTCAGGGTCGCGCTCGAGACGTGTGATGATCTCCGAAATGTGCTCTGGAGAGACAAACACTTCTAGGTATGCCTTCTGGTAGACGTAACCATTGCGTGGACCCCAACCAAAGACAGGGTCCGAGGATTTGGCTCCATTGACAGCAGGTTGGGAGTTGATGGTCAGGAAACCGCGACGGTTCAGGTCAATGAGATCATCCGTGATCGATCCCGCTTCAGTTGTGATGGGTTGTTCACTCCATGGCAGCGAGTCGAGCTTTCCCTCCATGTAGCGTACGAAGAGTTCGGACAGATCCCTAATCGACATTGGTGTGCCCCATAGCTTGATGTTCTGCTCATTGGTTCCCTTCAGACCGATGCCATATGAGTCCAATTCACCGAACGCAGGTGAGCGAGAATCTCCCCAGCGACCGTTGGGGAACTCGTCCCAGTCTTGTGTACGTGCGATGTACGATCGGTTGCGGTTGCGCCAGAAGATGGGTCGCACGTTCTCGTCGCGTCGGTTGAGGGCCAGGGAAGGCCGCCACGGAAGGGGCTTCTCTAGCGGTGACTCGGGGTCTGGTAGGAGGTCTAGTTCTTCGAGGACCATGCGGGTGGCTTGTGCGAGGTTCATGGTGTAGCTATATGGAATTAGCCGGGGGATATTGCTGCCTCGGAGGGACAACTTACAAATGCAGATGTATGATACCAGCATCGATCAGCCGCCGGCACATGTCTGCGACCAGAGTCTTGCCAACTTCACGGACTTCGACGTCGTCGTTCTTGACAGGCTCCAACGCCTCAGTCCAGTTCTTGGGGATGTTGCACTTGGTCCATTGAGCTCGGCGTAAAAATGCGGCGTATGTGTGGATCGGCATAATACCAGGAATGATGGGAACGTCGATGCCCTTGGCACGAACCTTTCTGACCCACTCGAGGAAGAGGTCGGTATCGTAGAACATCTGCGTGACAATGAAGGTTCCTCCGGCATCCACCTTCTCCTTGAGATGGTCGATGAGCTCATCGACGTTGTCATTGTCGTCGCTTCCTTCGGAGTATCCGGCCACACCAATGTCGAAATGGTTTCCATACTTCTCCTTGATGTATACGACGAGGTCCTTGGCATAGCGGAAGCCACCTGCCGTCGCCTCCCACTTTTCTCTCTCACGCGGCGGGTCTCCCCTCAGCGCGAGGATGTTGGTGCAGCCGGCGTTGTATGCATCGCGGAGGGCGTCGTCGAGCTTGGACTTTTCCATGTCGGTGCACGTGAGGTGCATGCAGGTTTCGAGGCCGTAGACGGATTGTGCGACCTTGACCATCTCGCAGGTCAGCTTGGAGTGGCGGCCACCGGCGCCCCAGGTGAGATCGATGAACTGTGGACCGAAGCCATGCATGCGGTCCATGCGGTCGTAGAGGTTTTGGACTCCCTAGATGAAATCAGCTTCCTGCTCCTTGTGCTAGGGCCATCAGGGTACGACGTACCTGCGCTGTCTTGGGCGGGAAGAATTCGAAGGAGAAGGTTGGCTTTCCCTCCTCCCGCGCCTGGGCGAGTTTCTGAGAGATGTGCATGATGGAGAGGTGTAGGACTACTAGAAAAAGAAGAGGGAGGAGAATGTAGAGTCTGCGTCAATTCTCCCGACGTTAGTGAAATGTATATAAGAGATATGCACCCCGCGGTGGAATTCGGGCGATGTGCAAGGATGCTGCGTACTGCGGTGTTGACACGAGCTATCCAAAGTATCGTTTGCGGGCCCAGCGATCTGCGAGTGTCCGCGACATGTACCACTGCTGTCTTGCGGTCGGTCAGTAGGCGGGAGGTGAGTGATGCGTTGATGTACAGTTTTCCTTTAGCGGAAGGTTGACGTTGAAGCGGTTAGCGCAGTACGGAGGCACAATCGGAGCCCTCCAGCCCTGCCAAGCGTGGCCCATCTTCGGCGGTCTGCCATGGCTGCTCTGGCACCACTGGACGATCCGGTGGCTATACGCAACTTGTGCATGCGGTGGGCGCGCGTCGTCACAGGAGATGCAGAGAGCGCTTGGGCAGGCCGCGAGGCGCGCATATTATAATGTGGCATTGCAGGTGATGATGATGGATGTGGCATGGAGCCCCACAAACGTGTCCCGTCCCACACGAGCTCCCCTCCACCGCTGGTGGCCGAATTGTCCCTTCCCCGGGTTTACCCTATGCGGTAACCCCGGATCATCATCGTTGCGCAAGAGTGTGCTTGCGAAGCTGCCAGACGCTCTACAAGTAACATTCTTCATACACACATACACAGACCGCAGCTATGCCGCCCATCACGCGCCCCCGCCGCATCGTCGGCGTCTCCCTGAAGATGTACTTCGACCTGCCCAGCACCCTGTCCTACGTCCGCGGCGTCTTGCAACTTGACGGCGACGCCTGGAACTCGCGCATCGATCTCTTCGTCATCCCCGACTTCGTCTCGCTCACTGAATCTGCCCGCATCCTCGAGTCCTCGTCTATCATGCTTGGCGCCCAAGATACCATGTGGGAGGACAAGGGCGCATACACGGGCGAGGTCAGCCCACTGGTGCTGCGCCAGGCAGGTGCGCGCATAGTAGAGATTGGACATGCGGAGCGGAGGGCCATATTCGGCGAGACAGACGAGACGGTCGCGAAGAAGGCTGGTGCAGCAGCGAGGAACGGCCTCATACCGCTCGTGTGCATTGGCGAGAAGACTCACCACAGCGTCGCGTCAGCAGCTGTCGGTGCAGCTATACAAGAGTGCAAACCCCAGGTCATGTCAGTGCTGGCTGCGGTCCCGGACGACACTGAGGTAATCCTGGCCTACGAGCCTGTCTGGGCCATTGGCGCAAAGGAGCCCGCCGACCCCGACCACGTTGTCAATGTTACGAAAGAGCTTAGGAAGCTGGCTGCTGGCAGAGCGGGCACCACAAGAATCGTCTACGGAGGAAGTGCTGGCCCTGGTACCTTTGCGAAGATTTCCGAAGGCGTCGATGGCTTATTCCTGGGTCGTTTCGCGCATGACATAAAGAACCTCAAGAAGGTTATCGAAGAAGTTGGCGGAGCTTGAGGTCGCTATGGATGACCATACGGCCGTTGAAGCTCTCATTCTTTCTCGCATTGATCATCCAGCGGGGGATCGGAGTCGGGGAAGGGGGAACAAGGCGAACAAACAAGCCGGGTGAGATTACTTATCTTCTCATCACCACCATCCGTCTCGTCATGTGCGCAGGTATAAAGAGAATGATGCGCCGGCTTGGTACCTTCTCTCAAACTGATCCATCTCATCTTCGCTGAGAGCACGTGCAATGCACCTTCCTCTTCCACCAGCACTTGTGTTGACGTTGCATCATGTTGACTGGCGCGGAACACATGTCCCTTCGCAAAGACAGTAACCAACTAATCACCGCTGTACGCAATCTGCTCGACTCGATCATCGGTACATTTCGCGATCATGGCGAACGAGTTTATGACAGTCGTTCGGCACTAGGCAGGAGTGACGCGCACCTGTCCATGCTGAGCAAGTACGGGGTCCCCAGGAGCAGAAGGTGCGAACGACGACGAGGAGACTTTGAGCCATCCAACATCCGAATGTACCGACGATCTGTATCTCCTTGTACCTTCTCACCAGCTTTCGGCACTTCACAATGGAAAGCACCGAAGACCGAAACCCTCCGAAGGCTACCCACATGAACTTTCAACGCCGCATGATCC